GGTTTGCTGTCCCCTAAGGGGCGCGAGCCGGGGGCTGCCTTCCAGATTCAGGCTGGAAGCAAGAGGCAAACTTCCAGGCGACAAGCACCAACGACAATGCTTCGCCGGGGGGAGGCGGGAGGGAAGCCGGGACGCAGCGGAAAGACTCCCAGGGGCAGGCCGAGGGGGACTGGCACATCCCCAGCTGCGGGCTCAGCCGGCAGAACAGTGCGGGGCGGGGAGCCGACAATACCTTTCTTGTTCTGCTGCAGGATGGTGGGCGGAGGAGAGGCCACTTTCATGGCCAGCCCGTAGGCTCCCCGGAAGGAGTGGCTGTCTCGGATAATGAAGGCTCCGGGCTCCCTGTCCTTCAGGAGCGTGATGGCTGGGAAGGAAGGAGCAGCGCCGTCAGGACGCGCGAGGAGACAGCCCTCGCGTCGCCCCGTCCCCGCCGGAGGCAGGCGGCCCCAGCGGTGCAGTGTCGGTCTCAGATTAGAGAGAGAAGGTGGGGGAGGGAATATCTTGTATTGCACCAAACACAACCCACATCCAAGGGGGACCCCACGTCTGGCCTGCAAATAGCCGCCCGGCCTCACAAGCAGACACCTCCCAGACCAGGACACACCCGTCAAACGGCGCCGGACCCCTCCAGAAGAGCAGATCTGACACCTGCAGGCGTATCTCTGCTGATCCACACCCCTCGCCTCACCTGGATCCAGCCCATATCACAACATGGGGTACCCCCCATCCAGCACTCTCCATGCCCCAAATGAGGCGGTAACTATGCTCCTGACGGAAGTCACACAAGAACTTCTAGTTTGTGTCCAGTTCTGGGCCCACCACTACAGAAAGGATGTGGACGCATTGGAGAGGGTCCAGCGGAGGTGACCAAAATGATTAGGGGGCTGGAGCACATGAGCTACGAGGAGAGGCTGAGGGAGCTGGGTCTGTTTAGTCTGAAGAGGAGAAGAGTGAGGGGGGATTTGAGAGCCGCCTTCAACTTCCTGAAGGGGGGTTCCAAAGAGGATGGAGAGAGGCTGTTCTCAGTGGTGACACATGGTAGAACAAGGAGCAACGCGAGGCTGTTCTCAGTGGGGGCAGGTGGCAGAATGAGGAGCGATGGGCTCAAGTTGCAGTGGGGGAGGTCTAGGTTGGAGATTAGGAAAAACTATTTCCCTAGGATGGTGGGGAAGCCCGGGGCTGGGTTCCCTAGGGAGGGGCTGGAATCTCCATCCCTAGAGATGTTTAAGTCTCAACTTGACAAGGCCCTGGCCGGGTTGATTGAGTTGGGATTGGTCCTGCCTAGAGCAGGGGGCTGGACTTGATGACCTTCTAAGGTCTCTTCCAGCTCCATGGTTCTATGATTCTATGAAAACGGTAAAAGACCAAAACACCCCATCATCTGCGGGGGAGAGGGTCTCACAGAGCGATTGTTACAGATCCAAAACGAGGCGGGTAATTACCCCGAAATTAAAAGGCACAGTGCCAAAAGTGAAACCCCTGCATGCTGCATGGAAACTTTTCAAAGACACCGTCCTCGAGGCTCAACGTAAAGGTGTCTCTTTAAAAAGAAATCCCCCAAAAGTGCCACCCCGGCTAAACCACCAAGCAAAAGAAGCAGGGGGAGACAAAAAGGCATCCTTTCGAAAGTGGAAGTTAAACCCTAGTGAGGGAAAACTGAAAGGAGCACAAACTCTGGCAAATGAAGAGTAAACACAGAATTAGGAAGGCCTCAAAAGAATGTGAAGAACAGCTGGCCAAAGACTCAAAAAGTAATAGCCATGTTTTTAAGCCAGCAGAAGCAGGAATCCTGCACACAACCCATGGGGTCACTGGACGATCGAGATGCTAAAGGAGCCCTCAAGGACAATAAGGTCACTGCAAAGAGACTAAACGAATTCTTTGCATCCGTCTTCATGGCTGGGGATTGGTGGGAAGATTCCCAAACCTGAGCCTTTGTAGGTGGCAGATCTGAGGAACGGTCCAGATTATGGTGTCATTAGAGGAGGTTTTGAGACAAACTGAGAAACTCAACAGTAACAAGACAGCAGAAATAAGTCACTTGGAAGAGCCACAAAAGGATCTTTCCAAACTGGGTGGGGAGGCAACTAAGGGGTAGATGGAATTTAATATTGATAAATGCAAAGTAAAGCACATTGGAAAACATAATCCCAGCTACACACATGAAATGATGGGGTCTAAATTAGCTGTTACCACTCACGAAAAAGATCTGGGAGTCAAACACCCACCCCGTGTGCTGTGGCAGTCAAAAAAGCAAACAGCATGCTGGGAATGAAAGGGACAAATGATAAGACAGAAAATATCTTATTGCCTTTCTATAAATTCATGGGACACCCAGAGTTGGAATGCTGAATGCAGATGTGATCACCCCATCTCCAAAAAGATATCTTGGAAAGTGTCCCGAAAAAGGCAACAAACATTTTGAGGGGGATGGAATGGGTTCCATATGGGAAGTTAATAAGACTGGGACTTCTGAGTCTTAATAGATGAAAGATGTTATTAAATGAGATGTGTGAGGGGGATAGGACAGAGGCCTATAAAATGACGGGGGTGGAGAAAGTGAAGAAGGAAAAGTGATTGACTTGTTCCCATAACATAAGAACTGGGGGTCACCAACTGAAATGAATAGGCAGCAGGTTTAAAGCAAACCCAAGGAAGTTTTTCTTCATGCAGTGCACAGTCAACCTGTGGAACTCCTCGCCAGAGGATGTTGTGAAGACCAGGACTTTAACAAGGTTCAAAAAGAGCTAGATAGATTCATGGAGGTTAGGTCCATCAGTGGCTATTAGCCAGGATGGGTAGAGATGGAGTCCCTGGCCTCTGTTTATCAGAGGCTGGGAATGAGAAACAGGGGAGGGATCACGTGAGGATTCCCTGTTCTGTTCACTCCCTCTGGGGCACCTGGCAATGGCCTGTGGGCAGACAGGACACTAGGCTAGATGGACCTTTGCACAACACCTTCAAGAGGCAAGCCAGGGACCTTCCATTCAGAACTTTGTTAGACACATGGACTGAAGAGGCTGCTGGATTTCCGGCTCATCGCAGCAACCTGTACCCCAGTAACCCCCCCTTTCTGACCCTGTGATTGCAGGTTCTTATCAGGGCCTTCCACCTCGAACAGTCCCTACGCATGTGGACTGCCTTCTGACGCAAAACGATCTCTTCCCCCTGGCATGTAGCCAGGACGCTCTGCGAGCCGGTCCCAGCCCCGCGGACGAGCTCTGTGCTCGCCTCTCTCACCCGCAGCCGCTGGCCCGATCCGAGCGAGGACCTTCCCCGCCTGCTGTCTACACTGGGTGAGGCCCAGACGTGGGCCCTGGGTCCTGCTGGGTTCGAGCCCGGCCTCGCCTTGGGACACGTCACTTGATTTCTCAAACACGCCTGCCCGGCCTGCCGGGTGGTATTGCAGACATGGGTTCCTAGCATTCCCAGCCCCCAACTCTGACAGAGCAGCCTCAGACCTCTTTGTGCCTCAGTTTCTCCTTGTAAAAAGGAGCTCCGAAGAATTATCTACCCACCTCCTGGGGCCAGGAGAGCCCATTAAATCCTGCCCCCCACCCAAGCTCTCTGGAGACGACCGGAGTAGTTAATGAAGTGGGGATTTAAATATCCCGCAATTCATTAACATGATCTCGCCGGCGCACGAGTTCGAATCACAGCTGATTGGAACCAGGAAGTGCACGCTGGGACGCGTTAGTTCGGACTAAAGCCCTTAGTCCGAACTGACGTTACTTCTCATTTTTTGAGATGACGTTAATGAAGCGCAGGATATTGAAATCCCCGCTTCATTAACGACTTCGGTCGTCTCCATTTGCATCCCTAGTCCGGACTAGGGATGCAGTGTAGACGTACCGAGTGCTTTAATGAGCGGCTAATTCATTGTTGCCTCCCAGTGCGGTGAGTAGCAGGTTGTTTTCCACTCTGCAGAGACGGGGGAGCTGGAAAAGGACGTCACCAGCCTCAGGTCGCACGGAGCAAGCCCAAGAAAGACCCCAGGCGTCCTGCCTGGGGATCAGGCCCCGTTTCCCTCTATGGGGCTATTGACACGTGTGCGATTAACCGAGGGGGGGGAAGAAAGAGACAGAAGGAGGCGGCAGACGTGGGGCCCAGAGGTCAATAGAACAGGCCTTAGGGCGGAGACGGGGGAGGGAATGCTCGAGGATGGGGATAAGCCCCCCAGGGTTTCCGTCCCCACCCACCTGGGCGTGCCGATTTCCACGTCCCCTCCCCTGGGTCTGGCTCAGCCACTCACCCTGCTCCCGGGAGATCTCCGGCTTGTACCAGTACTTGGAGGTGTCCTGGACAAACTTCAGGTTGGCCCGCGTCTCGGGGCTGCTGTCTGCGAGAGGGGGAGGGAGAGACAATCAAGGGAAGCATTTGAGCCCATCCACATTCGCCATCCAGAGGGGTCCCGTGGGGCAGCCCTCCCAGCGACCAGGACGGGGCAGAGGCTCCTACGGGTCGCACTGAACCGCAGCTCTCTGAACGCATCCGTAGCTTCCCCTTCCTGGAACCCTGGTGAATGGCCTGACCCCCCAACTCAGCCCATCTAGAGATCTCTAGGGTGCCCTCGTTCCTGAGCCGGCAAACACCGAGGCAGGGGCTGTCGCTTTCCAACCCCCTGACCTAAACGAGCGACACAACAGGCGAAAATGATGCGGGGGCTGGAGCACATGAGCTACGAGGAGAGGCTGGGGGGTTGGGGATGGGTTAGTCTGCAGGAGAAAAGAGTGAGGGGGGATTTGAGAGCAGCCTTCAACTTCCTGAAGGGGGTTCCAAAGAGGCTGGAGAGAGGCTGTTCTCAGTGGGGGCAGATGCAGAACAAGGAGCAATGGGCTCAAGTTGCAGTGGGGGAGGTCTAGGTTGGAGATTAGGAAAAACTATTTCCCTAGGCGGGTGGGGAAGCGCTGGGCTGGGTTCCCTAGGGAGGGGGTGGAGTCTCCATCCCTAGAGGGGTTTAAGTCCCAGCTTGACAGAGCCCTGGCTGGGTTGATTGAGTTGGGATTGGTCCTGCCTTGGGCAGGGGGCTGGACTCGACTCCTGGGGTCTCTGCCCGCCCTGGGACTCTGATTCTGGGAATTAAGCGTGTGCTGAAGAGTTTGCAGGGCCAGGGTGGCACGTGCTCCGCTCCGCTGTGCTGTGACTGGCCGGCTCCTGGCCCAGGGGGCTAAGCGGGAAGGGAAGCCGGCCATGTAAAATACAGATAAACACACAGGACCAGCAGCTCCGGGAGCTGCCCTGACTTCAGAGGACCTGCACTGGCCAGCACCAGTGGAGGGGTACTGGAAGAGGCGCCGTTCAATGCCTGTCAGACAGAGCATGCTTACGCAGAGGGGCCCGTCACAAAGGACTTATCCGGGCAGCGGTGAGTTCGCCTGCGTATGGCAGGCGGCCAGGGTCAGGAATGTCCCCAGCTGAGCTGCTTGGACCTCGCCGTGCGCAGGCTGGGGGACCGCACGGTGCTTTTCCCTTGGCTGCTAGCTCTGGTGTGAGTGTGACCGTGTGAGCCCAAGGGAAAGCAAAGGAGGGCAGGGGGGCGAACCCGGCCCCTCGGTGAGGCTGAGAGGTATCTATCTCCCGATGTCGGGGGTAAATCCACCCAACCCGGCCGTTCCCAGCTCCCCAGTGGCTCTGGGAACTGTGGGCCAAACGCAGGCAGGAGGCGGTACTGACAGGCCCGAGCGGCCCAACCCTAAGGCCGTGTGAGCCCAAGGGAAAGCAAAGGAGGGCAGGGGGGCGAACCCGGCCCCTCGGTGAGGCTGAGAGGTATCTATCTCCCGATGTCGGGGGTAAATCCACCCAACCCGGCCGTTCCCAGCTCCCCAGTGGCTCTGGGAACTGTGGGCCAAACGCAGGCAGGAGGCGGTACTGACAGGCCCGAGCGGCCCAACCCTAAGGCAGTTCCTCCGCTAACGGGAGCTCTGCCTGCGTGAGACCTGAGCCGGGGCCTCCGGGTGCATCCTCCGGCCGGAGCCGC